AAAGCCATATTTAATCTACCACAGGAAAGTGTTATCTATTTAAAAATATTAAATATTATTCACTCTTAACTGTATATTTGTACAGCATTGTACATTGTACATTGCTTCCCTGCTGCTTCCCTGACTACTCTTTTCAATCTTTTTTCTTTTTTTTCCTGTCTCTACTAAACATAGTAGCACAACGCAAAATGGCTGGAACAGTAAGGAATATGGACTATTTCACACAACAAAATGTTCTGAGGGAGGGCAGCTCCTGTGGCTGAAAATGCATCGACTCATTGATGTCATCAGGAATTTAGAGTTTTCTCATTTTTTTTCCACCTGTTATACTTCATATTATATGAACTAGGGCTTCGAACCAGCTCATTCTGGTTTGACCCCTTATATTAGTTAAATCTGGGGTGGAAAGGCAAAGTCTCCCAGAATGAACTATTTGAAGCTCTAATATTAACTCATTTAATTCTGTTAACAGCAATGTGAGGTAGGCTCTGTCATTATCTCCATTTTAATGAGGAAGCTAAGGCACGAGAAAAGTAAATAACTCACCCAAAGTCACAAAGATAGTAGTAGGAGGAACCATAATCTAAATTCAGATGGTTTTACACCTTTTACGCTGCCATGGGTGTAAATATGTGAGGGGAAAAGAACTGCTAGAAGCCAAGCAGTTAGACACATGTTAAATATAAAACCAAAAAACTAAATCCACTGCCCTGGAGTCGATTCTGACTCATAGCGACCCTAAAGGACAGGACAGAACTGCCACATAGGGTATCCAGGGTATCTTCTTTAGGGAAGCAGACTGTTGCATCTTTCTCCCTCAGAGCAGCTGTTGTTAAGTGCCATCGAGTCATCACTGACTCATAGCGACCCTATGCACAGCAAAACGAAACACCTCCCAGTCCGGCGCCAGCTCCACGATCCCTGCTATGCTTGAGCCCATTGCCTGCAGCCACTAGGTCAGTCCATCTCGTTGAGGGCCTTCTCCTCTTTCATTTACCCTCCACCTTATTAAGCATGACATCCTTCTCCAGGGAATGGTCCCTTCTGACAACATGCCCAAAGTAGGTGAGAGGAAGTCTGGCCATTCTTGCTTCCAAGGAGCATTCCGGCTGTACTTCCTCCAAGACAGATTTGTTAGTTCTTTTAGTGGTCCATGGTACTTTCAGCATTCTTTGCCAGCACCACAACTCAAAAGCATCAACTCTTCTTCGGTCTTCCTTATTCACTGTCCAGCTTTCAAATGCCTAT